CTTCTGCTTTGGCCTGAGCAAGAGTTGGCAGGTTGGGGGTCTGTGGTCCTTGCTGACATGCCCAGGGTAGCACTGACCGCCACTTTTGGGGTCGGGAAGGAATTTTCCTCCAAGGCATTCAGGACCATGGAGAGCTTCCTTTAAACCTGGAATTAAAAGATGGAAGTTGCTCCTCTTGCAAGGGACCCCAAGGCCCCATTGCTCAAATCTGGAACCGGTCCTTCTCAAACTTCTGTGAAACTGAGCCTCTCAGGTTGCAGAGTGACCTGGAAGCTTTTATAGGGGCTGGATAGGACCACGCGGCCCCAGACCCTCCAATAGTTCACAGATGAAAACAGGGACAAATGTGATGGTATGAAACATCTTTGCCTATGTGTGTTTGAAAAGTAGAGAGAGAAGGCCAAACAGCTCACAAAACTACAAATCCCAGAATCCCATAGCATTGAGCCATGGCAATTAAAGTGATGTCAAACTGCACTAATTCTGCAACATAGATACAGCCTGGGAGGAAATTTGGGATTTCGTGCACATTTTAGACTAGAACTCCCTGGCAAGGAATCCTAAGTTCATCACCAAACTACAAATCCCAGGATTTCATAGCCACAACAATCAAGCTGATATCAAACTGCTATTGGCATGTAAAATATATTCACCCACATTCAAAATAGAGGACTGTTTTCTATAAAGCAGGATATACGCTTGAAAAATATCCTAGTATGGGTTGTCTTTTCCAATAAGATACTCTCCCTATCAATTTTGGGATTTCAGATACCCCCCAAAAAACTGAACAGATTGCATAGTTGTTTTTAAAAAAATATTACATAATTAAAATAATATTTACAATACATTATAATGTTCCTATTCTATCGTTCTATTTACAATACATACCTCCTTCCTCTAGTTCTTCAACAATGAGTACCTATATTTATTCAATTATCTTTAAGTATCTATCTTAAATTTACATGTCTTACAGTTCTTAATATCTTAGCTTATTTAAATCTAGTTTTCTTTCATGTAACTCTCTATTGGAGCCCATTCTTCACTTATTAAATCCAAGTCTTTATTCTTCAGTATTTTTGTTAATTTGTCCATCTCTTTTACTTCTACCAATTCTAAAAAATATTCATCTATAGTAGGTATGGCTTGTTTCTTCCATTTTTGCGCTATTACAGATTGCATAGCTTAAAAGCTCATAGATACCAGCTAGGGAAACAGATAAGAGTTTAGGAAACAATGCTTCCAGATCAGATCTGTTCCTGCAACGGCCAAGCAGTCGGTTCTAGGAAAACTTCCCAAGAGGACAGATAGATAGATAATGTGTCCAGCAATAGCACCCTCCTGCTTCTGCAACTAAAAGACAAGGAGATAAAGAAATGCAAATAATATCTCTTTTTAAAAAGAGGAAGTCAAGGCAGAGGATGGGAGGAGTGAGTCAGAAAAATTGGGTTTTAAAAAAAGAAATCCCTACATCAGCATTGTTCAGAGTTCTCCAAGTTCCACAAGTTGCACCAGGTTCTTGAGATCTGTCTGAGAGCAAATGGTTGGCCATCTGTGCCATTCAGCCGGAGATTGTGGATCAGGGGGATCCGGGAATTAGTAGCCAAAGGATGGAAAGATACCGGGTGCAAGACACCATAAGCTTCCGGCAGAGGAGAGCCCTTCTGCCGTTGCTGCTTTTTGTTTTCCTCTTTATGGGTGAGTTGACTTTTTCAAGAGATCATGCCCTCCTCATTGCTCTGCTGGAAGAATCCTCCTGGAAGTCTAGAACTGTCCTCCATGGTCTTTCTCAAATGGGGGATCGGCAAGTATGGGCCTTTGCAGACTGCCAGAA